CCGTGAATTGCGAACAATTTCACTGTTTGGCTGATTGAAAAGACGAGCGTTAACTGCTATATAGCGGATATCTTGCTCCAGCGCTACCTGTTTCCTAAAAATCCAACAGTTAAAACGCTAAAAGGTACAACACATGTAACCATCCTCATAAAAACATCACCCCTGGCTAACCTAATAATGCGTGCTCGCTGGCCTAGCAAAAGAAGTAGAAGAAAAATAATCAGTCAAGAGCCAAACCCAGGCAAATATCAGAATTTAACAATATGAAAAATTAGAAACTGGCCTCAAGAAGGACCTGTAAATTGCATTTAACAATAGGTATGCTAGATTAATCAGTCGTATTGTTGCCGCGGTAAAATAAAGCAAAAGGCACGCACTAATCCACTGAATACCGAAATGTATATAAAAGTGGTTGAAAATCGCTTCCAATGCAATTTTGAAAGTGACTTTCAACGACTTTTATATACATGCCGGTATTCAGTGGGCCAGACGACTCAGTAAAACCTATGAATGTCGAGGATATGATACTAAGAGAATAAACAGAGTTCTTTTAAACTTTTTTTTTTCCGGAATCGTGTTGTAAGCAAATTCACTGACGTGGATAACGAGGGAATTAGAAATCGCTGTCGGTCCATAATGAACCTACAAAACCAAAGGGCACCACCGCTTGGATTCAGATTTCACTGACAGAACATACATGCGCATAATTGATATGATTGATGGTTTTTAACTAAAATGGCATTATCTAGTGAACCATCGGCGAAAAGAACGAAGACGGAGACGTATCTGCTGCATGTTAGTTTTACTTTCATTTCTACTTCTGCAACAATTATTTTAAGTACTGTCACCTGTATTTCCTTTCTTTCTTCCTCCATCTTCCTTCGGAAAACCATACATTCATTCAAACATGGCGGAATGGGGCACTGTATTGATGTTTCCCACCTCATTCCGCACTGGCTCTGCTGTCTGTGTTTACAGTTTAGGGATGAAACACAGACCGGACAACAGCTAAAGCACATACAGGTTCGCTTATCTGGGTATCTAAATTAGCATTCCCTGCTTTCCCACAATTTACAATATTCGACTGTGTCTCTCTCACCGGCGAGCCTTTAGCTCCAAACAAACTTCCACGGTTTACAGTTTTTTTAAAAAAAAATTTCCAAAACACTTTGTATTTATCGTTCTCATTACTGCTCAAAACTACAATCCCACTATTAAGATTTACAGATGAAGGAAGAAAATGGCGAAATATTTTATCGCAAAATATGTTTGAAGGTTGCCTGGGGAAAACAGTGTACTAGTCCTGCAGTGTGCTATTTTCTGTCTCTTTTTATTTTTTAACTGACGCGTAATATTCATACATCTCGCGCTTGATCAATACGCGTGTTGTAACGCATTTTACTGAGTAAGCACAGTATTACATCGTGTCGGAAAAAACTATCGCATTTTAGTGAGTAAGCACAGTATCGTATCATATCAAAAAAGGCAACAGTGTACTGTGTCAAAGTACGTACTGTCTCTAGAAAGTTTTTAAAATTTTTGTTTCCTTTAGGGAAATAAGAAACGTTTTAAGGATACCTGTAGAAACGATTTTCAACTCGCTGCCGAATTGTGCTCAAGTCGATCGGATAATCAACATCCCATAAATAATCCGGATATTCGACGAGACTGACCGGAGCTGTGAACGGCTTAACGTCCGGGTCATTTTCCAAGCTTTTTATTGCTTCAATGATGCGATCGGAACACGCTCTGATACCTTTTACGGCACCACGCCAGTGTTGTTCATCAACTGGATATTGCGAAAACAGGACTTGATCTTCCTCACTAGCAATTCCTTCAAATGAACAGAATGGAGTCGGCAAGCAGAAACATTCCTTTCCGAAATAAAAATACACTCCAGCCTAGGGTTATCGGAAGAGTTACACCTGTAATTCAGGTGACAGATTCCGAGCTGCGCACTTCACTGGAAGTGAGACGCAAAAATCAGAAAAGGTATTGACTTAAAAGGAAATGGGCAACATTTTCTCAGATATGTGGAATTCTGTTCATGGAGGGCTAAGCCTGAGTAAGATTCACATCTTCCTTTATCAAAAACACATAATAATGTATACAAAAAACCCAAACAATCCTAATAGAAAAGAAGGTAACTGCTGTATTTTAAAAAAAACCTGAGCGGCGATGAGGCAATAAAGGTTGAACATCCCATGGACTCATTTTTTCATCCTCACCAGTGTCCCATCTTACAGTAAGGCAGTACCAATTCGACCTAAAACACAGTATACATTCATTTCACTGTTATATGCGAGCAATTTCTTAACTCTTGGCCAACTATCTGCCAGTGGAGCGGTAACGAATTGCAAGGGCATCATAATCATGTCGTATTTCAATGTCTACACCTACCACTGTGATTAATGCATCCGTAAAGCAACGTAGAAATCTCTTCGAGTTGTGTTTTGATTGCTGACCACTTAGGTTGAAAAGCAATAGGAAGAAAAGAAACAACAAACAATGGCATTTTTAGGCTTAAAAACCAGCCGATCCCCGAATCCTATGAAGAATTTTGAGGATTGTTTTTTTGCCTCCGACAAATTCCGAACCATAAAATCACTCAATCACAGATGATTACAATGACAGTACTATCATTCGACAGCAACAAACTGTTCCAGTCAGTCTAAGATAACTAATTTTAAATGCCGTAAGCAACAAACCTTGGGTAATTTTCTTCATCGTGAACTTCCTTTTTATCGATGGTGCCCGTCCACCAGTGATTATCCAGGATTGTTTCGATTCGCGTTCCCGGCTGATAACGGTGTGCCACCGATTCATCATAAAGATGACGCAGGATAATAAAATCTGGTACATTTTCCATGTCATGATATCTACAAAAAAAAAAGACTAAATTTCTAGGAGGCAATGCATGTGTCTAAACTGCACACTGCGTTGCATATGGGAAAGCTAGCACGGAGGTGGTTACTCTCAAGCTCGAACTCAGAGGCCAATATCTGTCAGTGGGAACAACCAATCTCGCTACTTTACTCGTTGGTTCAATTCCCTTATAGCCAGGGCTTCCAGTACTATCAGTTTACAACTGATGAGAAGTGTTTGGTAGGTACTGTTTTCCCAAAATG